CCCCCCCCCCTGCGCTGTCCGCTGCTGAGCCAGACCCCTTGAGACCCTGCCGGCTGGGGCAGGGCTGGGCGCCCCGGGGCGGGATGGGCTTCATTCCCTAGAGCCGCCTCCTCCGGGAATCCCTTCCTCCTCGGCTACTGACTTCAGCCTTCCTCGGTACTAGGAGGGGGGCAGGGGTGGGGACACAGGCTGCATCGGGAACCTTGGGGGTCACCGTCCCCAGGTCTCCCCACCCCTGGAGTAGGGGGGCGTTCCTGACACCCACAGTGGGTTCGGAAACATGGCTCAGTCTTGCCGTTTTTGCAGGAGGAAGAAAGTGGAATTTAAAAAACCAAACAAAACTTTTTTTTTTTTCTTCTGTTGGTGTGAAGGAGGGGGACCCCAGACCCTAGCTTTTCCCTAGGGGGTGGACAGGAGGGCCGAAGCCAGGAGCCACTGCGGTGGAGACGATCTTTCTGCCCCCCTCCTCCCCTCTTAAATCACACCAGGACATCTTCGGGAGGGCTCTTGCCAAACCCCTTATCCCCAGCCCGTGGGGTCTCTTAGCAGCCAGGGAAGAGAAGAGGGGCACCCCCTTTCCCCCCCACTAACCCTGCTCTTAATGGCCTCCAGGGTTGACATCTCATCAGGGAGAGGGGCAGCTGGGCGGGCGGGGGGTCCCAGCCCGGAAACCCCCTCCCCATCACCAGCCCTACCAAGCAACCGTGACTGCAGCAGCAGGAGGGGACAGCCTGGCTCCCCCCCTTGGCCGCGTGACCAACTTGCCTCTCTCTCCCACTCTCTCCTTCCCTCGCCTCTGCTTCCCTCCCGTGTCCCCCTCCACTCCTCCCCCCTGCCCAGTCTTCGTGTGCCCAGGGACCCTGCAAAAGGTGCTGGAGCCCACGTCGACGCACGAGTCGGAGCACCAGTCGGGCGCTTGGTGCAAGGACCCGCTGCAGGCGGGGGACCGCATCTACGTGATGCCGTGGGTGCCCTACCGCACGGACACGCTGACCGAGTACGCGTCGTGGGAGGACTACGTGGCGGCGCGTCACACCACCACGTACCGCCTGCCCAACCGCGTGGACGGCACTGGCTTCGTGGTCTACGACGGCGCGGTGTTCTACAACAAGGAGCGCACGCGCAACATCGTCAAGTACGACCTGCGGACGCGCATCAAGAGCGGGGAGACGGTCATCAACACGGCCAACTACCACGACACGTCGCCCTACCGCTGGGGGGGCAAGACGGACATCGACCTGGCGGTGGACGAGAACGGGCTGTGGGTCATCTACGCCACCGAGGGCAACAACGGGCGGCTGGTGGTGAGCCAGCTCAACCCCTACACGCTGCGCTTCGAGGGCACCTGGGAGACGGGCTACGACAAGCGCTCGGCGTCCAACGCCTTCATGGTGTGCGGCGTCCTGTACGTGCTGCGCTCCGTCTACGTGGAGGACGACAGCGAGGCGGCGGGCAACCGCGTAGACTACGCCTTCAACACCAACGCCAACCGCGAGGAGCCCGTGAGCCTGGCTTTCCCCAACCCCTACCAGTTCGTGTCCTCCGTGGACTACAACCCGCGCGACAACCAGCTCTACGTCTGGAACAACTACTTCGTGGTGCGCTACAGTCTGGAGTTCGGGCCCCCGGACCCCAGCGCGGGTGAGGATGGCTTCTCGCGCCCCCCTCCCCAACCCCGCTCTGCCACCTCCTGGGCATATTGGGAGTGGGGTCAGGTGGAAGCTTTGGATGCAAAAGAAGGTTACGGGGGACAGCAGGTGGCGTGGTGATTAAGGGCACCGGACTCCCACATGGCCGACCACGGTTCAAGTCCCGGACCTGGCAGCTAGCTTTCTCACTTTCTCTCTCTGGTCAACTTTTAAAAATAAGTAAATGGGACCAGCAGTTAGCGTAATGGCTATGTCGCTGGACTCCTATGTAGTTGACCGTGGTTTGAGTCCCAGACCCGGTGGCTTAAACTCAAGCCGGGCGCGTGTGCGTGCATGCCCAAGATCCCGAGAGGAGAATGGAGGAGAAGGGATCGCGGCGTGACCATCCCCTCTGGGGGGTGATTTCTCGCTTTCTGTCTCTCTGTCTCTCTCTGTCTTTGTCTGTCTCTCTGGCAAACACACATGCCCAATAAGCAGGCCTTTCTAAATTCCGTCTGTCTTCTAGGGCCTGCTCCAAATCTTACATAGTCCCACTTTGATTATGTAATTCTCCTCAGACATCTCCTGCTCTGCTCTGTGGCACAAATTTGTGGAAACATGACTGCTTTGCTTTTAGAAAAAGACCCAAACACCTCCCAGGCCCCCCAGGGCACTCGCCTTCTGGGCTGGCCTTCTTTCTTTGGCATCATCTGTCTGCCCTTCATCCTTGCCAGTGGGCACCTTGCCATTCAGGCTGCCTTCAGCTCCTCCTGGGGCCCTGCTCTTGCATGAGGTGGGGACTTTCCACACAGGATTTGATCTTTGAGCCTGGCATGTTCTCCCCTTCTGGTTTCCACAACCTACCATTTATTGATTATTTAACTTTATTTATTTATTTGCTTGTTTTAATTTGACCAGAGAGGGACAGAGCGAGAGAGAGAGGAGGAATGTAAGAAAGCAAGCTACCAGGTCCAGGGTTCAAACCGCAGTTGGCCATGTGAGAGTCCAGTACCTTTAACCACCATGCCACCTGCTAGCCCCCTTAAATAATTATTAAAAAAAGCAAAGGTCACAGGGACCAACAGTTGGTGGCATAAGGGCTAGGTCACTGGACTCCCATGTAATCAAACGCAGTTCAAGTCCTGGACCCACTGGCTTAAACTCACACCGGGCACATTTGTGTGCGTGCCCAAGATCCCGAGAGAAGAATGGAGGAGAAGGGATTGTGGGTAATTTCTCGCTTTCTGTCTCTCTGTCTCTCTCTGTCTTTTTGGCGCATGCAAGCGCCCTATAGCAAGAAACCTCCGAAAATAAAAAAGGTCAGAGCATGTCACAGTTGGTAACTCATTTCTTTCTCAGAGGCTGAGACAGGTCTTCATTTGGTTTTAGAATTATTTAATTTTATTAATTATTATTGAATTATAGTTATTTGGTTTACCATAGGGCATGTGTGTTTACCAGAGTGAGAAAGCAACTGCCCGGTATGGGACTTGAACCGCAATTGCCCATGTGGGAGCCCAACACCTAACCATGATGCCACCTGCTGGCTCCAAGAGAGAGGTCTTTATTATTCTTATTTTACAGACAACACTGAGACCCTGGACCATGGGAGTTAGTTTACTTATTTGAGGATTTTTTTTTTAGATTTTTGTCATAGGGCGTGTGCACTTACCAGGGAGACAGAGAGATCCTTTCTCTTCCGTTCTCCTCCTGGGATTTTGGGCACGCACGCAGGTGCCCGTCATGATTTTTCAAGCCCTCAGCCCTCAGGTGTGGGACTTGAACTGAAGTCATCCATGTGGGGGGTCCAGTGCCTTGACCACCACACCACCTGCTGGTTAGAGGATATGAAGGATGATTTGAGGATTTGAACCCAGGATGTGGGACTCCTAACCACTGAACCGCATTGCCTCTCCCTGGGGATTAGACACACTTATTAGTAGTCCCCATGGACTGACTTAACTCTTGGGTAGAAATACCCAGGATCTGTAAAACATTTAAAAAATAAATAAGTAGGGACCAGCAGATGGAATGGTGGTTAAGATGTTGGACTCCCACATGGATGACCATGGTTCGAGTCCTGGACCTGGTGGCTTGCTTTCTCACTTTCCCTCTCTCTCTGGCAAGCACATGTACCCTATAGCAAACTAGATCATAATAATAATAATGAGTAAAGTTAAATCATTCTTTTAATTAATTAGAAAGTGGAGTGATTGATTTGGTCAGAGTGAGGGACCCCCACAGTCTCATTTTGCTCCCCCAGATGCCCTAAGCCAGCTCCGAGAAGCCCTGAGCTAACCAGTTTTGTTTGCACAAAGGGAAACTGAGGATGCCAGAGGGAAGGGACACAGCCAAATGACAGAAACCAGGTCGGCTAGACCCAGGGTGGGAGGCAGCCATGTCCAACAGCTCCCCGACACCTCACTGGACCCACTTTCTGACCTCGAGGTGCACAGGGGTGGCTTCATTTATTTATTTATTTTTTAGAATTATTCCTTCATTTTTTTTTTTTCTTTTTTTGGAGAGGTTTTTGCTATAGGGCGCATGCTCTCGCCAGACAGACAGAGAGACAGAAAGCGAGAAATCACCCCCCAGGGGGGATGGCCATGCCACAATCCCTTCTCCTCCACTCTCCTCTTGGGATCTTGGGAACGCACGCACACGCGCCCGGCGTGAGTTTAAGCCACTGGGTCCGGGACTCGAACCACGGTCGACTACATAGGAGTCCAACAACATAGCCATGACGCTAACTGCTGGTCCCATATTTCTTAATTTCTTTACTGTTTATTTTTAGAAGTTTTTTCCTTGAGGTGCATGCATTTCCTGGAGAGAGAGAGACAGAGATAGTAAGAGGGAAAGTGAGACTTCCCCCCCCCCCCCTTGGGGGGGATGGCCACACCATAATCTTTTCTCTCCCATTCTCCTCCTGGAATCTTTGGCACGCACACACGTGCACCCAGTATGATTTTTCAAGCCAGCGGATATGGGACTTGAACTGCGATTGGTCTTGTGGGATCCCAACGACCTAACCCCTATGCTATCTGCTGGCCTCTAGAATTATTTATTTGATTAAATTTATTATGATGATTATGATTTTTTTAAAAAAAACTTTCTATAGGACATGTGTGCTCACGAGAGAGACAGAGAGAGGGAAAGTGAGAAAGCAAGCCGCCAGGTCTGGGACTCAAACTGGGGTCAGTCATGTGGGAGTCCAGTGCCTTAACCACCATGTCAGCTGCCAGCCCTCCCGTGAATGGTTCTTTAGCACCTGTTGGTACTTTATATGGTCCCACGGGCATAGGGGACCTCCAGGGACACAGAGGCCAAGGGAGATCTGTGTCCAGGGGGACCCAAGACACCTTCCCATGGCAACAGGGAATGCGCCGGGAGGGCCAGCAGCCCCGTGCTGTGGGGTGACCCTGTCCTGTCTCTCGCCTCCCTTCCAGGCCCAGCCACGTCCCCACCCCTCAGCACGACCACCACAGCCCGGCCGACACCCCTCACCAGCACCGCCTCACCCGCAGCCACCACCCCGCTCCGCCGGGCACCCCTAACCACGCACCCAGTGGGCGCCATCAACCAGCTAGGACCTGACCTGCCTCCAGCCACGGCCCCGGCCCCCAGCACCCGGCGGCCCCCAGCCCCCAATCTGCACGTGTCCCCCGAGCTGTTCTGCGAACCCCGAGAGGTACGGAGGGTCCAGTGGCCGGCCACCCAGCAGGGCATGCTGGTGGAGAGGCCTTGCCCCAAGGGGACTCGAGGTGAGTGCAGAAGTCACAGCCACCCCTGCTGTGGCTGGCCCGGGAGGGACCGGGGATGTGTTGACCGAATAGCTTAGGACAGGTGCGCTTGCAGGCCGGCCTGCCCGCTGGGGCTTTCTGAGGGCAGGGGTCATGTCTGACGCGGGCACAGTGGGACCCTGGGGCCTAGCAGAGCCCTCGGCATGGTGACCACTTTCTTGTTTGTCTGGCACCCTGCAGTTACCCCACGGGAGCCCACCTTCAGGGCAAGGTGCCCCGGGGCCCTGGGGCAGGAGCAGGTGGTGACCTTGTGCAGAGGGGTCTTCCGAGATGGGCTTTGCTGGAAGGTTCTGACTCCGGCAGGCGAAGATGGCAGGGTTAGCCAGGAGGGAGCCCTCGGGGGACGTGAAGGGTGGCTCGTGTCACCTGAGAGTGACACCCATCTTGACTGTCCGGCCCACTTCATGCCTGTTTTTCCGTGTCCCCCTCACCTCTCTCTCTCTCGGCCCGCTCGCCCCCCAACTCTGTCGTCTCCTCTCCCCCGTGTCTTGGCCCGTCCTTCTCCCCTCTCCCCCTCGGCTCCTTTGTCTGTCCCTGTCCGTCTGTCCCTGCAGGAATTGCCTCCTTCCAGTGTCTTCCAACCCTGGGGCTCTGGAACCCCCGGGGCCCTGACCTCAGCAACTGCACCTCCCCCTGGGTTAACCAGGTGGCTCAGAAGGTACCAGCAGCAGCCGCCCCTGGCATGGCAGGCATATTTGCTCGGTCCCCGGGACCCCAGCAGGGTTTTAGCCCAACAACCAGGGAGACCGACAGGGGCTGGCAGGTCTGGAAGGCAGGATCTGGGGGGGTCCCCTCCCTGGCCGACACAGGGAGGGGTGGGAACGGCCAGATAGGACCAGGGGGAAGCAGAGAGAGGGAGGGATTGTAGGGAGAGCAGGCCAGGCCCTGACAGACCTGGCGTCCCCCCCCCTTGCTCCTCCTTCTCTCCCTCCCCCTCGGCCTTCCGCAGATCAAGAGCGGGGAGAACGCGGCCAACATCGCCAACGAGCTGGCCCGCCACACCCGGGGCTCCATCTACGCCGGGGACGTGTCCTCGTCCGTGAAGCTGATGGAGCAGCTGCTGGATATCCTGGATGCGCAGCTGCAGGCCCTGCGCCCCATCGAGCGCGAGTCGGCCGGCAAGAACTACAATAAGGTGGGGCCTGGAGGGGCAGGGCCCCCGGATCTGCCAGAGCCCGCTCTCTGCTGCCTGCATGCCCTGGGGCGTCGGGGTCCCTGCAGAATGCCTCTCGCTGACAGCCCTGGGGCTCAGAGGGGAGAGAGTTGGGGGCCAGGGGTGCCGGGAGGCTGGCCTGACGTCGCCACCGTGTCCCCCTTAGATGCACAAGCGAGAACGGACCTGCAAGGATTACATCAAGGTGAGGTTCGGAGGGGTCCCCCCTGCAAGGACCGGACTGATGCGGGGGGGAATGGAGGCTCTGGGAGGGACGTGGGAGCCTCACCGCACCGGCTCCCCGCACGCCCAGGCCGTGGTGGAGACGGTGGACAACCTGCTCCGGCCCGAGGCCCTCGAGTCCTGGAAGGACATGAACGCTACGGAGCAGGTGCACACGGCCACCATGCTCCTGGACGTGCTGGAAGAGGGCGCCTTCCTGCTGGCCGACAACGTCAGGGAGCCCGCCCGCTTCCTGGCCGCCAAGGAGAACGTGGGTGAGTGCCGCGGTCTCTCTGGGGCCACCTCGGGCACCCATCCCGAGCTAGAGTGGGGATGGCCTGGTCCCCGGGCCCGAGCCCCTGGGCAGGGAACAGCCCCCAACCGCGTAATGCCCTGCTGTCCCCTGTCCCCGTAGTCCTGGAGGTGACAGTTCTGAACACGGAGGGGCAGGTGCAGGAGCTGGTGTTCCCCCAGGAGTACCCGAGGAAGAACTCCATCCAGCTGTCGGCCAACACCATCAAGCAGAACAGTCGCAATGGTCAGTGTCCCCAGCAAGACCTTGGGTGGGGACACAGCCCTCTGCCTTGGCCTGCCCCCACCAAGCCCACACTGGTGTCTCTGCTCCATTGACAGAGATCCTGGGGCTGAACTTTGATCAGGTTTTATCCACCCAAGCTAGTATAAAATTTCAAGGGGGAGGGCCAGCAGGTGGCGTAGTGGTTAAGGCACTGGACTCCCACGTTTGTGACTGCGGTTCGAGTCCCCGACCTGGCAGTTCGAAACACACCAGACCTGTGTGCGTGCATGCCCAAAATCCTAAGAGGAGAATAGAGGAGAAGGGAGTGTGACATAGCCATTCCCCCTTGGGGGTGGAGGGTGATTTCTCGTTCTCTGTCTCCCTGGTGAGCGCACACACCCTGTAGCAAAAACAATTTCTTATAAAAAGAAAAATTCAGGGGGTCCATGGCTGCCCTGAAGCCCTAGGGACCTAGCATGAGTCTTGTGGTTTCCAGTAGCCTTGTTGGTCCTCAAAATTCAGAGGTCATTGGGGCCGGCCAGTGGCGTGGTACTTAAAGGTGCTGGATTCCCACATGACTGATCACAGTTCAAGTCCTGGACCTGGCAGCTTGCGTTTTCACTTTCTCTCTTTCTCTCTCTGTCTCTGGTCAAATTGAAATAAACAAATGAGGGGCCGGCAGGTGGCGTGGTGGTTGAGGACACTGGACTCCCACATGACTGGCTGTGTTTCAAGTCCCGGACCTGGTGGCTTGCTTTCTCACTTTCCCTCTTTCTGTCTTTCACTCTGTCCCACTCGGGTCAAATTAAAATATATAAATAAATACATAAAGTCAAATAATTCTAAAAAAAAAAAAGAAAAAGAAGAAGAAGAAGAAAAGAAACAAGTGAATTTTTTTTTTTAAAGTTAAATAAAACAGTTATTTAAAAAAAAAATTCAGGGGCCGGCAGGTGGCATGTAGTTAAGGGCGCTGGACTTCCACATGGCTGATCACGGGTTGAGGACTGGA